GCCACGCAGCATCCTCGGCTGTTGTACGAATGATAAGTACCACGACCTCACAGAAGACCGGCGTAAAGTGGAAGTATAATCCTTTCGCATTTCATCTGATGAGTGAGGTAGCCGGAGCCCAATTTCCAAAAAGGTTGTCAACGCATCTGCAAACCCTCGGGTGTAGCAGATATCCATGGGCGGCGGTATTCACTTAACATCAGGTGAACCGACTTTGCACATAAAAAAAATATTCTTCACTCCACCATCGTGTAGTCTTACGTGCCGTTCCTTTTCTATCTACTTTATACAATATCTTTGCTATACTCCTTATACGTTCTGCCTGCGTTTCATTAAATTATTGTCAGCCCCCTTGTTGGCTGGATGATGACTTAATATCAATGCCAATTCGTATTAAGTCCGCCATTTATATTCCCTACGTAAGGTGTTTGCAATAAATAAGTTGGAAAAAAAACGAGTCGAAGAAATAAAAGCACTGCTACTGGAAAAAAATGATAATAATACACCACACGATAGGTATAATTATTATCAGGTATTAATTGGATACAAAATTGTCAGGTATCCGTTGTCATTGTAATGCGCATAGTGACGTTAAATGGTTCGGTAAATGCACAAAATAAGAAAAGGTTAAACGAATAGAGGACAATTTAGCATGTACCAAATCTAGCAGAGCATAATTAGTTGGGCATACTTTGAATATTTATTATAATAGATCTCTCTAACTCAAGAAATTTGCTAAAATGGCGTAAGTGTGTTTAAAGATCAATAGGTTTAAGGTGGGGCAGGTTTTCACAGTTCAAATTTCATTTTCAGGACGAGGGATGGAATTCATAGCAAAAAAAAAACTTTGTAACTGAAAGCCTCTAACTGCTGCCGTGTACGTCTCGACCTGGATACGAACGTGAACCCAAGGAACTCTTACGCGGGCAATCCTGTTTGTTTACAATTTCAAACCCCACCCTACTATTACATAACTGATCAGGAAGACCAACGTTTTCTGGTTGCGGAAACTGTTTATCAGATTATGTGGTTTGTTACAAAAAGTATTCTATCAGTAACACGGCGATTTTAAGTCACAGCTAAACAATTCAAAGATCGCAGTTTTCGTTTTAATTTTTGTATGCAATGATTAACTTTCTTAATAATTCGATTAATTAAAATTTAAACTGTTTGCAAAATTATGAGGTGTACTTAGTATTTTGTTTTACAAAAAGTATTCTATCAATAGTAATGTAGTAACAGTGTACACCCGCGTTCCGGGACGGTTCTCACCGCTCCCAGCCACCGATTAGCTAAATGCACAGTCGACGGCCATCGGGGTTTCAGTCCGAACCGCGACCTCGATGGCCCTTAGATGACACACCATAGTTAAAAACACGCATGAGCACATGCGCGGCCCTACCCACAGCGGAGGGCCCAAACCCGTAGGTTCTGGCTAGCCCACCGGTTCTGCGTCAAATGAAAATTTAATAGTCTCGCAGTTTCAGTTTTAATTTTAATATGGAATGATTAACTTTCTTAATAATTCCATGTTAAAATTTTAACTGTAGGCACAATTATGATGTCCATTCAGTATCTCGTATAAATCATTATCATCAATCGCGTATGCTTCAACGCGCCTATTAAAACGGCGAGGATTTTGTGAATGAAAAATCACGATCCCACTTGCATCATAATATTCATACATGAATTTAACACTGCTTTCTACTTCACAATCAATTTAAAAATTGCAAATAATAATTTTAAAAAAAGTACAAAGCCTAGGACCACCACCCAAAATGCATCCCACATTCAAAGTAAAATTAGTTTAAAAATAAGGAGAGGAAAGAGAGAGAACCATAATGCTAACCACGATTTGTGTGTTCAATGTATGGTCAGAACTCACAAAACGGACGAAGCGATTACAATGCGTATTGTAGTGCCGTGTTTAGACTTCCCAGACCCTTCCGTTGGTGTGTTTGGGCTCCGAACAGCATACCTGATGGTCTGCTCTCTGCTGTCTCTCACGCGACACTGTTGCACGAATGAGCAGGTCCGTCGACGTTAACTACCACGTCACAGAAGACCGGCGTAAAGTAGAAGTGTTACACTTCTGCGTTTCGTCTGGTGAGTGAGGTAGCCGGGGGCCCACTTTATTTAAAGGTGGCAACGCCACCTAATTCATATAGCTATTATACAAGTCTTTCATCACCATCAAGGTCGACAGAGGCCGCTATTGATGTTTAAATTCCGTCCGACTACTTATATATATTATATTATATATATATATATGAACTTGACAAGTCTGTGAACACATCAAGGAGAAAACTTGACTGAGCGCGTAAAATGCTCCGTAACTATTTCGCTATGCTTCAATGTGTATTAAACACCATCGGACGCTACAAACCTACAACCATAATATAAACTACAATCCTCCGATTACCTACATGGGAATCGGAATACGTTGTGAGAATCATTGAATTAAAAAAAAAACTAGAACAGACCTTGATTGTCAACTGACGACATTTGATTCCATTTCTCGGTAAATAAAGAAGGTTAGACCAACATTGATTATTCATTAAGCATTAATCCGTCGCGACACAATCAGCGAGTTAGTTAGTACTGACCCGGTTACTCGTGTACTTATCACTTAGCCGCCGCATACGAAGATAAATAAAAGCCATTTTTGTGAGAGCGCACAACAGGTAAATCAGGTTTTACCGGAAACGCGCCGTCGCTGCTATGACGTGTCGCCGCCCGTCCGAGTGAACGGGACAGCCTGCGGTTTCGTCTCGCTCGCGCGCAATCAGCTGATCTCGAGACGTTCGCGACCTCAGAGTGAATTCTGCGTTTGCATCATGAAACTCATCCGTAACACGGTCTGAAGACGATCTTATTTATGTGTGCGAAACGTTATAGGTACATATCAATTAATACGAACCAAAGAATACATACAATTATTTGCAAAATAAAAAGTATACGACATATACCACAAACTGAAGACCAAATGATTGGATCGAACCCACACCGTGTTACTGTAGCCGATCACAACCTCTGCGTAACTGAACTAATTCTTTCGCTTCAAAAGCTGTTTATTATAATTACGATTTTTTACAAGTTGGCCAGTGAAACAAGTCAGCTGTTCGCAATTCCTTTAGTTTCTAGAGAAAGTGTCGGCAGACACCGTCAAAACGTGAGCACCACACGTGGGAATAGAAAGTGTAATTTGACTAGCAAGCGGAATAGTGTGAGCGACTTTTATTGATATTTCAAGTAGGAATTCACCTGCTATGGCCGTGTAGACGGATACAGGTTATGTACAAATGAGCTATTATAACAGTCTGAGTTACAGGAAACATTTTAACATCAAACTAAAAGTATTCAGTCGCTAATCGATAAATTAACACCTTCCGTTAATGCTTTTTCGTTTGAGGCTTAAAAGTAATTACTATAAAATAACCAATAAACTTATATACGTTGGTAAACCGTTCGTCAGTCGCGTATGAGAATTTCATTCAGTTGACAATAATTCATTTTAAAAGAGAGAGGTGTACGGAGAAAGGATGCTGGTTCGAAGGTTATCGCAATGACATTGATTGGTGCGATAACTAATCAATTACAATCCGTAGAATAAGCATCATCGAACGCAAAACTCGTGAGGTGTCCAAATACCATGAGCTTGATCCATGCGTGCGTTACCGTAAACGGGAGGAATGTCACCCAGGCCATCGAGGTTCGGTACGACCGTGACCCCTTTGGCCGCTGACTCTATTAATTGGTAGCCACCAATTAATTGAGTCAGCGGCAATTGGTGGCGGGGAGAATCACCATGGGACGCAGATGTACCTTGTGTACGTGTTGGGTTGTCATGCTCTTAGACGAGGATGCAATAAATGGTTTTTGTTAGGTGGGACCGCCGGTACGTCTGGCTGATCTATGTCTCGTCTTGGGTGTAAAACGGTCGCATTGGTAATTCGTTGTGTTTACCATCAGAGGTTTAGAAAACTATTGGTTCTTTGATGGGTGTCTTTATAATTATTGTTGGTGTTATGTTAGGCTATGATAGTTCTCCAATCAAATTTAGTCTAATAGTAGTCGAATAGTAGTCTAAGGTAGTAAAATTAAGAAGTATATATACAATAATAGGAATAAACGAAACTATGCCTAAAACGAGACTGATTATCAAAACACATTTTTGTAAAGTCGCTGATAATTATTGAAAATCGGGTAGCATCCAGTTTAAGGCTGTCACTATGTTCGCATAACCGTTCGACGTTAAACCGTAAACAAGTTACCCGTGGCATCGTAACTCAATTATCGGTTAATTATATCCAATAAAGCGGGAAGTTAACTAACTAGTTAACTCACTCATAACCCAAGCAGAACCAGGCATGTTAAGGCTTAGAATTGGAGTTTTTAACACAAAAGATAAAGTCTTTTCTATCAAAAAGTCATAAAAGAACCGTTTTGGCGTAGTAGCAGCAGCGGAAGGTCGTCTAGTTCTAAGGTCATCAGTTCGAGCTTATTTCTACATTGCTTTTATGGGCTCTACTTCATAAAATATAATAAATAAAATAAAATACAATAATTATTGCGGCAGCCATGACATGGCATAAATGACCATCTACCAAATAGTAAAAAGAAATGCAATCACAATTAAATGTATTACAAAATATACGTCACGTTATCTATATCTTATAGGTCATTATATCATTAAAATATAATATCTACGCAACCTAATCCCTAATTACTAAAATTACTTATTTCATTATTCGAGACAAGGTTTATGGATTACATAGTTTAAGTAGCGATTTTTCAATAAACAACAGCTGCCAAAATTGTTATGTCTGTCTTGGAGTTGTTTTTATGTTTTATTAATAACAATAAATAAGGTGAAAGTAGAACATAAAATAAAAATGAATCATAACAGAAAAAGCAACAATAAACTGAGATGACAAGGAAGAATACATAAAATTGTGTGTTTGTGGAATTAGCATAGTTACGCCCAGATTATAACCGACCTTTCCTCCGCCCCCGCCTCCCTATCTCTCGAGTTTTCCTCACACTTAGCGAGGAAATTGCATATGAGCAGTTTCCTATACATGTATGCTTATTCACCATCAAGACACGAGAACACTGCAATCACTGAAGATGCACAAATCACCTTTGCTACTTTGAAACAAACGAAACGAAATCTTCGCGATCGTGACACAAATGACGTTCCCTTTGTTATTCAAAAAACGAACACTTTTTTTCTCTCTCGCCATATGTACCGCTGTAGGTATGCCAGTGACACTGTCCGACTAATTGTTTCAGAACAGATAACGATGTCTGATAAACAGCGAGTGCGCGCCAATGGCGGGCGGCGGCGGGTACGTGGCGTCGACGGGCACTTTAATGCGATTTACTCGGATTTACATTGTACGACATGCGTATGCGACGGAGGTTTTTGATTTTACTACTCCCTCGGACGGTTCGTGGCGATTTGGAGACGATAATTTCTCAACATAATTGATGACTCCGTGGCGCAGTTGCCAAGGTTGCGCTGTTGCCAAGGTTGCGCAGTTGCCAAGGTTGCGCAGTTAAGCCTTCGGCGCCATGGGTTGGTGTGTTCGATTCCCACACGGGACAAGTGTTTGCGTGACCCACAGACAACCGTTTCGCATCTGGGTGTTTGTCCGCGTGAAATTTATGTACGTAAAACGTCCTTACAACACAGTATAGTGTTATCCTGAAGAAGAGCATGTTTTGAAAATGCAAAAAAAATATTTAAGCCAGAGGCAAGAGTCGCCGAGGCCGAAATTGGCCAGGGGGATATTTTTTTATGTGAAAACTTGCCAAGCAAGCAGACGGTGTCAAAGCGTACGTTCATTTCGAGTAATGCACTTTAAATAAGGAAAGAAATTTTGAAATTGGTACAGCAGAGAATTCCCTACACGCACACAATCTCATAAAACTCACATAGAACTCTTACTTTGTATTGTTTGATTTCAGACTAGCGACCGTCCCGGCTTCGCACGGCTGCAATGCAGAATGTTTGTTTTCGACATCGCAATAGAAACCTCTAAAATTATCAGTGTTTCTCTACTATATTATGCATGAATTACTATATTATACATATAAACCTTCCCCTTGAATCACTCTATCTATTAAAGAAAACCGCATCAAAATCCGTTTCGTAGTTTTAAAGATCAAAGCATATATAGGGACAGACAGACAGCGGTACGACTTTGTTTTATACTATGTAGTGATGATAAATTTCACTAAATTTTTAAAGTAGACATCGGCCTGGCAGCTGTTACAAAGCTGTGAGTTGCGTGCACAAAACAATTTAACGGGTTTTTTAATTTCTTACGTGGAAAGATTTCTTCTAACGCTTTACCGGAATGACAGTCATCTATCTTTTTAGGTGGGATTTTATTAATATACTAGCTTTTCGCTCGCGGGTTCGATGATTTAAAAAAAAAATTTCTGTAATAAAAAGAATTTTATGTCCTTTTTAGTACTCTAAGAATATGTGTACATAGTTTCATGATCATCGGTTGAGTAGTTTTGGCGTGAAAGCGTAACAAGCAAACATTTATAATATTAGGTAGGGATTACAAGGATTCCTTCATTGGACTTCGCAAATGAACGATTTCAATTGCGGCATTTTCAGTGCCAGTAGAAGTTTTTTAATACAGCCTTATGCATTGTATCGTGATCACGATTAGTACTAATGTAGGTTTTATTAGTAGAGGATGCCTAAAACTACTATTAAAGACAAATAACCTAGAAATGTGTGCATGTGCGATATCGATCGATAGACGGTGTAATTTCAGCTAGCAAAACCAAAAAATTGCGCTTTAAAAATTTCATATTCGCAATTATCTTTATTTAGCGAATAATAAATATAAACAAAATTCTAAATAATCAAAATCATTCTGCACATAGTACCCAATCAAATCTCATTGCATTCTAGGACATGCAAGTTACATCTCAACAATATTTAGTATTTACATCTCAAGGCAAAATAGGCGCACTATAGCCGTAATAATATAATATATGTAAAATATAATTTACTTTTAACATATAGCGATTATATAATTATACATATATACTATATAATAAAATATCATTTACATACTTTGGAGATTTATGGTCTGCAAATTTTGGAGAGAATTACAATTTGATATTACTGTTAGGACGAACCACGACAAAACTGACGATCGGCGATTGCATTAACTTTTCGTAAAATGAATAGAGGACTTTTAGTAAAAACATATTATAGAGAATAAAATAGCACAGTCAGATAAATCGCCGTCAGTTACGCCCGGCCCGTAGCCGGCACAAACAAACGCTACATGTAACTGACTGGCCTAATTGGCGAGCGGCGCGGATGTGTTCGGTGCCATTCAGGAATGCCCGTTCCGTATTCAATGCCATCCTTAACGAGGGCGCACTTGATTGTAATTTGGGGGCTTGTTTCCACTTTAATCAACGCCAACGACGCCGTACAAAATCCCGGTCACTCAATTGAGCGATTTGGCGTCAGGCTTTTCTCTTTCATTGTATTTCTAAATCAGAACAACCTGAAAGAAGTACTTAACCCTTATTAATTAAATTATTTGTTCTGAACATTCTTTCCTTTAATCGAGCTGGACATTAACAACACCCATAATGTTTCAAATGCCACCTTTTAACAGCAGCCGACCTGTGGCAGTTCTGTCCAGGTAAGTACCACGATACGCAGAAGTGTGAAGTGGAAGTGTTGTACTTCTGCGTTTCGTCTGGTGAGTGAGGTAGCCGGGGCCCACGTTATTAAGAGGTGGCAACGCATTTGCAATCTTACGGATGTTGCAAATGTACATGGGTGACGGATGTCACTTAACATATGGTGAGCCGCCAGCGCTCTTGCCATCTTCTTACATGAAAATGACGGAACGCAAAGAATAACACTTTCACTTCACGCCGGTGCTGTGTGAGGTCGTGGTAGATCCCCGGACTGTTGCGCAGCCCTAGCCCAATTTACTTCAAACATACGAGTATAAATTGGGCCAATTTAATGCAACATTTCGATTATCCAAAATGCAGTAAGCACTGGATGAAATGAAGTCACGAAACGAACTTCCTTACTAAGTAGCTTGTTTGTCTCTGCGCCCGAGTACTACTATTGGAGGAAACTTTCGCCATTAGCCTCGTAATGACTCGCAAACTGGGTACACGTGCGAAGGGCCACTCCGACGTCGATGGTAAAAGCAGAACGCGTGTCCCAATTAACGCTGATCCCCTTTTGTGAATGAAACTTCACTGTGAATGCTAAGAATAACAAATCGCCTTTTATCCGGAACGATATTCCGTACCCAAAGGATAAAACGGGGGTCCCGTTTTACCCTTTGGGTACGGAAGTATTAATAGGACTACGCTGTCTGTCTGTCTGTCCGATGTCGAAAGTGATACTTAGACATTGGAAACTTTCACATATTTTGTATTTCTGTTGCCGCTATGACAACAAACGCTAAAATTCACAATAAAAAATTATTTATTATTTATTTTCTCTTATTATTATATACAACAGATATGATTCTTTTGCCGTTTTTAAAAGCAATGGTACGGAACCCTTCGTGTGCAAGTCCGACTCGCACTTGGCCGGTTTTTACTAGTAAATAAAAATGTAAATAAAATTCGAAATTTTATATAAACTCATACCGACATGTCTACGTAATCACTTTTCAAATACCTGTTTTTTTTTATTGAATATATAATGAAATCATCTAATGGAATAATACATTTTTGCAGGTCAAGTCTATAAAAGCGTGTACCCTTACCACGTCGATTTCTTAGTGCCAATAAATGTCAGTTACTTAGAAAATAAGTATCATATAGATACAAAATATATTACTGACTGAAATGACTATACATAATGTATATGTACATAAGTGACTATGCATATATATAATGACTATCTATTTAAATAACATATAAATAAATTTTGTACAAGTTTATAGAGTGGAATAAAAACATGGTGAGTACATACAAATACAAGGACATATTATTGAGAACTAAATTTTATTCAAATGCAAGAACAAATAAAATATATCTTACTATAGGGCATAAAACACCTGTCTCGTAACCATGGCGACTAGTGTTTGAAACTACAGACATACGAACAAATTGAACAAAATTAAATCAATGGTCGTTTTTTATGTGTGTTATACTTCTATATATTAATACGTGAAGCTTTGTAACAAAAAAAAAACTTTGTACCCCTTTTTACGAAAAAATCGCGGACCGAGGAGTACGAAATTTCCAACACTTACAGTTTACATTGAGACTGCAGAATGCTAATATATTTTTAAATTATGCATATAAAATACATTAAATCATTAAAAAACATTACACACTATAAAACTAATTATGAATTTCCACCACTACGCGACCACTGGTGTGTGTAAATCTATGAAATGTTTTAGTATATTTGAGTCGTCACTACATTGTTGGTCTACATATTTTTTGGTAAATCCTGACCTTAGGATTCTGTTTAATATAATCTGGATGCATATCATTAAGTCAATCTTAAGGCCCATTTACACGATGCCATTTTCTTGTACATACAAGAGCAATAATTGAATGCAATAAATTGCGCGCAATAATTGTTAAGACCATTTGTTGTTTAGACCATGCAACTCATTTATTGCTTCAATTTAATTGTATATAACAGGCAAGAAACTTGCACCGTGTAAATGGACCTTTAGTGTTCGTGTTGCATTTCAAAACGCACGCAAATTCCCATCTAATCGGCAACACGTGCAAGAACTGAAACTATTCTGGATTTGTCGAGACAATGCTGGGTAATGAGTCATCTAATCTCTGCGCAATACAATCGGGACATTGATAAATACTTAGCGATATAACGTATAAGCCCATTCGTTGTACAAAATCTAATTTTAAAACTAAATGGTTATATTCTTAACTTATAAATATTTTTTTTCTCGCATTCTACATATCTGGGCATAAGCGTAATTTACATCGGTTGGCTATTAGAACATTAAGATGTACCGTTACTTTTTAAAGCCAGTTTAAAAATTCCGTTTACAAAAAGTGAAAACTGGCAAAATAGCTGAT